CCAGGCAGCGTTTGCATGTATATCAAAATATGAGGTATAATTCCTGCTTCCTGACAAGCATCCACCGAATTTGCAATTAAATTTGTGAAAACTTGTTCAATTTGTCCTTCATCACAACGTACCTGCAAAGAATCCGGTATCTTTAAATCAAATCGAACTCCTGGAAGAGCCTGAGACCGTAAAGCAACAATTTGTTGGCAAAGTCGAGTTAAAGATACTGTGCTCATTTTTGGACTCGGCATCTGTGCAAAAGCTGAAAATTCCCCGACCATCTCCCCTAAATGCTGTACTTGACGTGTAATCGTGTCAATACACCGCTCAAAAGTTTCTGGGTCATTTTCTACCTGAGGAAGATAACGACGGCGCAAGCGCTCTGAGGCCAGTTGAATCGGCGTTAAAGGGTTTTTAATTTCATGAGCAACACGCCGTGCAACATCTGCCCAAGCTGCCTGCCTCTGGGCACGCAATAAAGCTGTCACGTCGTTAAAAGTCATCACAAAATCCCCTCCCGATTTTTCTCGAGTAATCCGAACAAGTAACGTAATTGGTTGATGACCTCGGCGCTTTATTACAACTTCAGACTGGACAGCCTGCAAAGAAAACTGTTCAACAGGTTTATTCTCCGCATTTATATCTTCGCAAGGAATAACCTTCACCAACAAGTCAGCCATCTCTGGCACAACTGTACTTAAACGATGTCCCATCACTTCAGAAAGATTGACCCCTAAAAGATCTGATGCAAAACGATTCGCTACATTAATCTTTCCATGTTTATCTAAACCAATGACCCCTGCAGAGACGCCAGACAAAACAGCTTCAATAAACTGTCGCCGTTGATCCAAGCGTTGGTTTGCATGGATAAGGTCATTACGGTGGTGGCGCAACTGTGCGGTCATCTGGTTAAAGGCTTCGCCCAAAACTCCAAAATCGTCCTGACTACTTGCTTGTACTTGTGTTGTCAGATCCCCCTTACGCACTTTTTGTGTCGCTTCAATAAGACGTCCTACAGGCCTGACCAGTTGGTTTGCATAAACAAGCCCAAACCAAACAGCCACAAACAAAAGAAGCAATGCAACAATGACGAAGATCAACAGAAAGCGAATTTCTAAATCGCCAAGCTGTTCCCCTAAATCGTGATAAGCGCCAACAGCAGCTTCTGTTTGCGCAATGCGTTCTAAAACTTGTGGATCAACCAAACGTCCGACCATCAAATAAAGCCCCATAGAGGGACGAATACTCACTAAGGCACGCACACGATCTTTCGCTTCATCCATATGAATCACAATTCCAGACTGGGCATGCTCCAAATCATCTTCTGTAATGCGAGCAAACTCTAAAGCAAATGTCAGTTTCGACCGTGCCCAAACCTTCGGAGATTGATCGAAAACAATTGCTTCGCTTAACCCTCTAAGGGCAGCTTGCCGCTCTACAACTTCATGAAAAAATGCTTCATTATCCATGAGTACGGGGAGCTGTTCTGACAAATCCCTTGCCATATCCGCCACATTTGCTCGAATC